AAGCTGGGCCAAGTCCATCATTCCACATTGAGAAAAGACAGAGATTTGGTAATAGTCTGTTCCCAGAAGGTTGAAGAAAGGGAAGAGCAGGTTGAGTGCTGCATGCTAGTTAACTGAGGCTCCTGGGGAGAACTCAAGCACAATTGCTCTTGCCTGTGCCTCATGGTGCCCACCCAGATACATGGCCTGCGGTCTGGGATCAGGTCTTATACCTCACCCTGAGCCCTGTGGTAGAGCCGTCTCAAACGTGTGTTCCAGATTCACTCAGTGCATCAGCGCCGGGAGGTCCAGGGCCGGGCCAAGGACTTTGATGTGCTGGTGGCAGAGCTGAAGGCCAATTCCCGAAAAGGGGAATCCCCCAAAGAGAAGAGCCCTGGGCGCAAGGACCTGGGCCCTGAGCGCCTTTCTCAGGAGTTGCCTTCTTCAGCCCAGGCAGTGGCAGCTCTGCCTGGCAGCACCTTCACACCAAGGGCCAAGCAGACCTATCCCTACTGTACACTGCCCAGGTAAGGGCCTGGCCCCCACTCTGGATATGTGGTATACATGCTCCACCCCTCAGATCTCCAAGAGAGAAAGACCTATAAGGAGTAGTGAGTGGCAGGAGCCTCCTGCCATACTCACAGCATCTGCTTTCTTCCAGTGTTCAGGTGTTCTACTTTTAGAGACTGTAAACTTAGGTGCACTCTCACTATGGGGGGCAGAGATGGGAGAAGCAGTTGAGGGGTGCTGTCTCGGTCGCCCCGATCTGGCCTTGCTATCCAGGCAGATGATAATTATTCTCCATCTATCCCCTGATCCTAGCTCTTTGTCATAAAGGGTCCTTTAAAAAGGAAATTTCTAGGGCTTGCACTTGGACCAGGATTCCTTTAGGGGAATCAGGTGGAAGGGAGTTAATCCCTCAAGCAACTCTGTGCTTTGGGAACTCTGAGAATCATGGAGCCCATTGCCACCTCCCAAGGAGGCCCCCTGGGGAACCTGTGTTTTCCTAGCTTCCTTGTATGACAGATGATCAGGCTGAAGCTTGGAAAGGAAATGACAGGGCCAGGTCTGTAGAGTGAGTTAGTGAGCATCTGGTATTGATTATCCCTTGGTGTACAAAGTATTGTGCTGGGGATGTGGGGAGATGCAATCCCTCCTTCCCTCAGGGAGCTGCTCCAGCAGCAGAATGGTACACATATATTCATCTCGGGGAACAGAGGCACATTCAGGAAGTCCTCCTTTACTGTTCGGTGCTGGGAGCAGTGGGAGGGTGGAGGAATGAGAACAGGAAGTGTGCTGAAGAGAGCTGGGTGGGGTTGATTCAAGGATTTTGGGAAATGTGTCTGGAGCAGGGTTTTGGAGCACACGTGAGAATGGCCCATGCGGTGGCCTGGTGTGGACAGCATAGGTGGAAAGAGACTGCTTTTGCAGTGAGTCACTATGCTTTTGCCCCCTTTTATCTCTGGTGGTCCAGAGATGGGGCTTCCACACAGGCTTTCAGAGATGTTCCCTCTCCCTGTTTTCTTTGGCCCTTCCAGGTCACGGGTCTCCTCTGAGAGTGAGCTAGATGATGAAGGCCCTTGTGGTGGTGATCGAGACCCAGGCCTGTTTCCTTTCCCTCTGCCCCGGGGTGGGGCCCAGGCTTCCAGCGAGGAGAGTGAGGAAGACATAGCACCTGATGACTTTCACCATGTCCCTGACTGTCATTATGCAACTCGGCCCCCTCGGCCACAGGCGGTAAGCACTGGGGCTGGATGGTGCTTAAATCCTTAAGGGTATGGAACTGAGCCTGAGAGCCATCCACAGGAGAGCGTGTCCATGTCCTCCTCACTCAGCTGCTAGTCCTGCTCCCAGAGCTGTGGGAAGGCATTGATTACTCATTGAGCTAATAGTCTTCCTCTGTCTTTACATCATCCCACTCCCACTTTCTCTCCTCTTTTACAGACACTAGAGTCCGTGCATGTTCGTGTGTACACACACACAGATATACATACACACACCACAAAGTGTTTGGCTGGGGGCCTTGGCAGGCTCAGCTGGGAGAGAAGGGCACAGGTCCCGCTCACTGGCATTTTCCTTTCTGATGTCTAGTTCTGCACCTTTGGTAGTCGGCTGGTAAGCCCAGGATGTTACGTCTTTAGTAGGCGGCTGGACCGGTTCTGCTCTGCACTCAGCTCCATGCTGGAACGACATCTCAGCTCACATATGTGGAAGTAAGTCCCCTAGCCCAAAGGCCCTTGTTGGGACCCCTGACTTCAGTCTCCTTAGCCCCCCCTCTGCAGTTACAGGCATGGGAGAACCCACGCCTAGAGTCTGTCCTCTAGATGTTCCCAGTTCATCCATGGAGAAGATCAAGTGCTCTCTTACCTGATCGTGGTCATTTTTCTTCCTGGGGGCACCTGGGTTCTCTTGGGCTTGGCGGTTGGGGGAAAGGGGAAGGCTTGGAGGTAAGGCATTTGGGGGTTTGGCAGCCTGGAACCTGTGCTCAAGCCGACACTTGAGGCAGGGCAGAGAAGGAGCACACTTTAGAGAGGAGGGGGAGGCGTTGAAAATGGCTTGTAAAATGAGGGATTACTGCTGTGCCTCCTCCCCTTCACACTGTTTCTGTTAGTTGCCAGCAGGTGGCAGCAGAGCTCAGCATTTGTTTGCTGTTCGGGGTGGGGGTGGGGATCTCAGGGTGCTCTGTGACTCAGGCTGCCCTCTTCTTTTCTGCAGGAAGATCCCACCAGCAGCCGAGCCCCCATCTCACCTCCTCGTCTCTTCCCCACCTGTTCCCCTGAGCCCTTCTGCAGCAGGCGCCTGTCCCCGCCTTTCTGGCCCCAGCCACAGGCCTCCCTTCCCACCCTCTGCACCCGTCACCAAGGACAACCCAGCCCCTGGCTACCCTACAGGCTCTCCCAGCGTGGGGGCTGCCTGCAGCCAGGCAGAGTGCACGGGTGGGAGTCAGGCCATCACCTCACCGCTGCCTGCCAAACACCCCATCACCCTCCTTCAGTAAGCTGCCTCCTTCCAAGGCCAGCAAGCTGTCCAAGGGCAAGGACGGGACTGACGTGGAAGCCCCATCCCGCAAGCGGAAATCGTCCCCTGGCCCTGCAGCCTTCAAACGGACCTGTATCCTGGATCCTCCTGGGAAAGGCAAACCTGCGGGCTGCCGAGCCCTCCCTGCCAAGACTAAGCCAGCCCTGGGCATAGGGCTCAATGGGGCAGTGGGACCCCGGGTGAAACGGGCAGGGCCCCTGGACTGTCGGGGCTCCCCACATACAGCCCCAGTGCCCGTCAAGGCCTCCCAGCTGGAGAACCGGGGGGGAGCTGGCCATCCAGGCAAAGCTCTGCAGCCTAACTGCCTCTCTGAGGAAGAGGCCAAGAAGAGGAAAAACCTGGCCACATACTGCCGGCCAGTGAAGGCAAAGCCCTGCCCTGCAGGGCCCCCGGCGGCCGATCCGGCCTGCTCTGTGCGCAGGAAGAAGCCCGGCCCAGCCTTGGGCTTTGAGGAGAAGTGCACCGCGCTGAAGGTACCATGCTTAGAGAAGGCAGGGGAGCTGGAAGGAGGGCTTAGGGGGTGGGGGACGACCAGATTGGGCCCCTCCTTTCCCTTTCCTATTGAACAAATAACACAAGGGACACTCAGGTATGAGGAGTGCTGAGCATGTCTAGGCAAGAAGGGGAAGATGGAAGTGGAAGAGGAGAGTGATAGGAAAAGGAAGGGATTAGAAGGGAGAAGCAAAATGGATTCCCTGGAACTGTGTGACCCCAGCGGTGGGATAGGTTGTTCCAAGATGTATTCTTGATTTGAGAGGCCCACTCTAACTCTGAAATCTGGTAGAGGGGATGCTGCTTTTCACATCCTCTCTAATTAAAGGGGTCTCATCTCCTGAATCGGTGTTGGTTCTCCCTGCAGTAACTGGGAATTACCTCAGTTTCCCTGGGTAAAGAAGGCTGGGTTCTAGGAAATTGAGTGTTCCTAGGAGAGGATGGAGGAATGATGGCAAGAAGCTTGGGCCATCTGGGCAGAGTATAACATTCAAGAGAGGGCTCAAGAAGGGGTATTTGTTGGTAGATTTCTGTCCGAGGAGGACGGCCTGACTTACCATGAGGTTGTCAGGCTGCCCAGGAACTTGGAGATGATGTGTTCATGGTGCTATATGTCTGTGACTACATCATTTAATAGACCATGTATGTGATAGCCCCATTCCAGCTTCTAATACCAGGACGAGGATTATTTTCTGGGAGTGGTGGGAGTCTCTAGGAATTTCTGCTACCTACATGCTGGTTTTCCAGCTCCCTGTCTTCCCAGTATGTGCCCAGTTCAGCCTTTGCAGAAAATTCTTTGGAAACCTGGAAACACTAGTTATTATTCCCCATGTGCTGTAGGGTCAGGAGGACTTCTGGGTAGGAAGGGAAGGTGTTGACTCCTCCACTCTTCCTCCCTGCCATGCCTTCTTGGTGAAAGCAGTGGGAGGGAAGACCCCAGGACCCCTGCGTAGGAGCATTGTTTCCTCAACACTGTCCCTGTGGCAGCAGCACAGTCACCATAAAGTTTCCTTAGACAGAATTCACTGGAGGCAGCCCCTGTACTGCCACGTTCATGTTCCAACGCCGCCGCTACTGCTGCTGGTTCCGAATCAGACTCCTTCCCAGGCCCAGAGCTGGAGGCCCACTGGCTGCAGATTGTTCACCAGGAGGACACACTCTTCCCAGGCCAGTGCTTCCCCCCACACAGGTCTTTCTTGCCTCTTGTCTTCCTGCAGTCAAAAGCGCATTAATGAGAAAGTGCCTGCCCATCGCAACGGAGCTGCCAGCGCCTCCTCCCTCTCCAGGATCCAGGCCCCAGGCTGCTGCTGCTGCCGCTTTTTATAACTTTATATTATTTTTTTTAAGAAAAAAAAAACTCTATAAAAATACCTCAAGACTGTCTCCCTGTTCTGTTACTGCCAAACACTATAACAACAAAACACAGAAAAGGAAAAAAATGGAAGAAAGGAGTCTCCTTCCTCCCTATCTCTGATCCTTCTTTGGTGGGTTGCAGCATCAAGGGCGGCCAGATATGAGATCCCACCACTTACAGAGATCTCTTTCTGCTGATTTTTGTCTCTCTAGAAATGGCAACGACCTCTGGAGCCTTGGTGTTCTCCTTCCGGGGGGATCTGAGGGGTGTAGGTAGGGAAAGGGAGCGAGCCTTATTAAGGAGCTCTCAGCTCCCAAGCCCTCCCACGTGAGGCTTTGCCTCGAGTCTTCTCCAAGCTGCTGCAAGGATGATGGTGGGATGCTGGGCTCACCTGACCTCGCCCTGCTTGGTTTCCCATAGGTCAGGTGGCTGGGGCACACCCCTTGGGTGTCTGGAAGATGCCTGCCTTGGTCCCTGTATCTGGGGAAGGACCCTTCCCTGGAGAAAGGCTAGGAAAGCCTTCCTTGGCCCCGGGCCAGGGGGTGGCTAATGACCCCGGGTAGCAGGATTGGGGGGGGGGATGCAGTGGCGGCATCACTGGGAATCTCCCTGGGGTTGGGGGCCGCACCTGGGTCCCATGTACAAAGGGCTCGGGCTGTGCGGGTGCCCCAAGTTGCGCTGGTTCGTTTGGTTGAAGCTCGGAGCCAGGGCCTCGTGGGTTTGCTAAGGGCGAAGTGTCGAGGCCCCGCAGGCGGGCTCGCTCCCAGCTCCAGGCCTCCTTCCGGGGGCAAGGCGGCGCACTCTGGGGATCGCGGACCTCTCCCCAGGGCGCCAGAGGGCGCTGCCGGCGACACCGCCGCGCCGCCGACCGCGTCCCGGGGGAGGAGCCGCTCCCGCCGCTGTCCCTGACGCCACGCTCAGGAACCCGGAAGCGGCGGCCCGGCGCCTGGGAGAAGCCGGCCCCCCGCAGCCCGGCCATGCTACCCCCGGCTGTGGGGCCCGTCCTGGCCTCACCTTCGGCCGCCGCCAGGGAGCCCCGGCTGGCCCGCTGGTTGCGCTGCGGCAGCGGCATCCTGGCGCACCTGGTGGCTTTAGGCTTCACCCTCTTCCTGACCGTGCTGTCCCGGCCCGGGACCAGTGAGTAAGGGTGGGACTGAGTTGGAAGAGGGGCGGGGCCGCGGGAGAAGGTAGGGCCGACTCCCGGTGGGGCGGGGCTAAAGAGCGAGGGGTGGAGTAAGATTCCTTGGGGCGGGACTAGAGAGTGAATGAAGGGCAGGCTTCCAGTGGGATGGGGGTACAGAGGGAGGGACGGGGCAGGGCAGTTCCTTGGGGGTGGGGCCAGAAAATGAATGAAAGTCAGGTTCCCAGTGGGATGGGGCCAGAGGGGGAGGGACAGGGCCCAGCGGACATTTGGAGGCGGAGCCAGAGAATGAATGAAAGGCAGGCTTCCATTGGGATGTTTAGAGAGGAAGGAGCAAGGTAAAGCAGTCTCCTGGGGGTGGGGCCAGAGAATGAATGAAGGGCAGGCTTCCAGTGAGATGGGGTCAGAAAGGGAGGGGCAGGATAGAGCTGGTCCTTGGGGGCGGGGTCAGGATGAATGAAGGACTGGCTTCCAGTGAGAGGGACCGGAGGGGCAGAGCAGGTTCTTGGGGGCGGGGCCAGGAAATGAATGAAGGGCAGGCTTCCAGTGGGGCGGGGCTAAGAGGAGAGGAGCAAATTCCTGGGGGGCGGGGCTAAAGAATGAAGCATCTTCATCTGGAAAGTGAAGGGTCTGGAGTCCTTCACCTGGGGTGCTGATCAATTCAGGGACCTGGGAATGTTTATATTCTGGGGGAGGAGAAGACAGTGGAGGTGGGACATCTGCGTTCAAGTATCTGTTAGGCTGCCACGTGGAGGAGGGGTTAGCCTGGCTCCGTCTGGCCCCAGGGGGTCAAGGAGCATGCGGGTGCTGCCTTGGGTAGAAGTTACACAGAGCCTGCTTTAAGCTTGTTGGCAGGAGAAACTCCATAAAGGAGTGGAGCTGTCCAAAAGTGGAACAGGTTGCCTCGAGGTGGGCGGGGGGGGGGAGTGTCCACCTCCTGATGTCATCAGGCAGAAGCTGGATGACCACTTGTCCGAATTCCTTTTGTGCAGGGCTTGGGCTAGTTGGACATTCGAACTCTCAAATTCAGGTGATTCTGAAGGCAGGGTTAGCACCCAGGTGTGTGTGTGTGGGGGGGAGGGGCTAGAAACGAAGGGTCCTGGGGATTCCTGAGGGCTGGAGCCAGGGAAGGGGCAGCTTCAATGTTGTGGAACTAGAGAGAGGGGGCTGCGGTGGGAGAAGACAAATTCCTGGGGATGAGGCCTGGAATGAAGGAAGGACAGGGTTTCAGGTTTCGGCAGAGAGGGACAGGCTTTTGGGGTTGGGCTTAAAGAGGGAGAGGTGGCACAGAGAAGGTTCCCTATAGGAGGTACAAAAAAGGAAGGCTGGACACCCACTGTAGGGTGGGGTCAGGGAAGAAGTTTGGGAACTGGTTCCCTGGGGTGAGATTGGAGAGTGTGTGTGGTTAGGTTGGGAGGGGGAGGTTTCTGGGTTTGGAATGAGGGAGGGGTATAGGTAGGATTGGAGAAATGGGGCCAGAGAAGGAGGGGTGGACCTTAGGGATATGGCCATTGATAAGAGTGGAACCATAGAAAGAGGGATAGGTTCTGAGAAGCTTGGCCAAGAAGGGGAAGGGAGAAGAGAGGAGAGTTTCCTGGGGATGGGGCTAGAGATGGAAGGGCAGGTTCCTAGGGATACAGGCTAGAGAGGACTTTCCTGAGGACTGAGGTCAGTGAGGGAGAGGAGAGGAGGGGTAGGTAACTCTTAGGAGCCAGGGAGAGAAGGGCAGGCTGTAAGGCAGGAGGGAGGGCTGCTTGGGGCCAGCTTGGAGTGTGGGAGGGAAGAGTATAAGATCCTGGAGAAAAGTGTGAGTTTGGGGGGGAGTGGGTGTTGATGCCAAGGCAACCTCATATGAGGGGCAGAGTTCTCCAAAGAGAGGGATGATGTGGGAAAGAATGCCAAAGTAAATTGGAGGCCCAGCCAGTAGGACCCAGCAAAGACTTGGGTACTAAGGGATCATGAGAGTGCTAGGTGGTTCCTTTTACCCCTGTGTTCTTGGTCACAATTTGGGCTAGAAATCTCTTAGTGGATGGGCTCCCTTGGGATGAAAAGATAACCCTGGGATAGGGAAATGGAGCTGAGTGGCTCTCAGCCTGTTCTTTTTGATTTCCAGGTCTCTTTTCTTGGCACCCTGTGTTCATGGCCTTGGCGGTGAGTTTGAATTTTTCATTCAAATCCTTTCCTCTCGTTAGGTTTCTCAGCCTCCTTCCCCTCTGGGAGTTGGAGTGGCAGTCATTTGGGATATGGAGTTACTGAAAACTGGCCTCAGAGGATAATCCTTTCCCACTTCTGGGGTCTTTAGTGAAGCAATGTTGTACCCTCTCCCTCCTCCCCAAAATGGGTGGTCATACTGTGAGGATCAACAGTTTGGACTCTTTCCCCAACACCCAGATTCTCGACTGTTCTGTGGCCTCAGGGATCTGTATTCTTGGTTAGGTTCCTGTTAGGGAGGTCCCTCTCTAGTCCTCCCTGTCTTTCTCCTTTCTGGGGGGGCTGGGCCATTTAAGGTGTCCTCATTTGTATTTGCAGTTCTGCCTGTGCATGGCTGAAGCCATCCTGCTCTTCTCTCCTGACCACTCACCATTCTTCTTCTGCTCACGCAAGGCTCGGATGCGACTACACTGGTTAGGGCAGACCTTGACCATCCTGTGTGCTTTCCTGGGCCTGGCCTTCATCATCTCCAGCAGGACCCGAAGCGAGCTGCCCCATCTTGTGTCCTGGCACAGCTGTGTGGGGGCTCTGACGCTGCTGGCGACCATTGGGCAATCCTTGTGTGGGCTGAGCCTCCTTTGTCCCCGGGCAGCCAGGGTCTCTCATGTGGCTCGACTCAAACTCTACCACCTGACATGTGGGCTGGCGGTCTACCTGATGGCCACATTTACCGTACTCCTGGGCATGTACTCAGCATGGTTCCAGGCTCAGATCAAAGGAGCTGCGTGGTATCTCTGCTTGTTCCTGCCTGTCTATCCAGCCCTGGTGATCATGCATCAGATCTCCAGTGCATATTTGCCAAAGAAGAAAATGGAAATATGATTCTGAGCTCCTACCTGGATCCCCCTCCCTTTTCCCTTTAGCCCCTTCCTCCCCAGGGTAGGTAGGGCACTTGCTTTCCTCTTATGTGACTTTTCCTGTATTATTCCTCCAACCCATTGAGGCAGCCTGGAATTCTTGAAATCTGAGTTGCTGTTGGGTGGTGGTTGAAAAGTCCAGAAATAGAATAACATTAGAAGTGGGTAAAAGGAGGATGGTGGGGAGTAGGGAACCTAGACCTCAGCTTGTTGGCCTGAGGTCAGGGGCATTTCGAAGAACTAGGGTTTCTTGGTAGTTTAGATTATTGAGGGGTGAGGTTATATTTGATTATGAAGGGAAGCTAGGGTTGGATGCATATCCCAATCCACTGAAGAGACAGGGTGGTTATAGGAGTCAGGAGACCCAGTCTGGCACAAAGCAGGGTGGCTTTGGGTCAGCTTTCAGGTTCTGGTGAGGACTCCCTTTCTTCACCTATAGAATGAGGGCATTGTGTCAGACTATCTCTAAGTTTCTATTCAACTCCAAAATGTCTATCATTCTGTGAGGTTGACCTTGACGAGGATATCTCTACCCTCCCGTGACATATCCCTTGGTACCCTTGTCCAGAGACAGACCCTCTTGGGGTAAGGCTGCCTGGACAATGGGGTTGACCTAGGGTAGTCATTCTTATGTTTAATTTTGGGCTGTCTCCAGTAGAGGGGAAGAATGTGTACATGAGGCCTTTTCTCAGGTATGGAGTGACCAGGCTTTGTAAGTGGCAAGGGACCAGGTCAGGCTGGGGCCCATTTCAGATGTTGTAGGCTCTGGATGGTGAAGCACTAGAGTCACTTTAACACTTTGGGGTCTGGGGTGGAATCAGAAAACCCAGCCACCCCTTTCTCTGGCTGGCTTTGACAGCAGCTTGCCAGAAGTCTCTAAGAACTCAACATTTTCTGGGACTTCAGAACTGAGTGCTGTCTTAAGGGTGGGTTTCATGGGTAATGAGCCTGTGCTGTTGTATACCAGGCTGGGTTCTGAGGCTTGCTGGGTTTTCTCTTTCCCCTTAAGTACTGTCCCAACAGTCTCAATCCTTCCATTTTGTCCTTCTTAGGACTTAGGTTCTTGCCTTAGCAAAGTCTCTTGAGAGACAGGGAGAGGTTGGATCGACCCTATTTAGGGCTAGGGGTGTATACAAATGGACTGATATATGTGAGGGTCAACTTGCAGGTTAAAGGGCAAAAAAGTGTGGTGGGACAGCCCCTTGATCCAGCTTATCCTTTGTTCTTCCTCTGTTCTCATTTTCTGATCCTTCCTTAGACCCCATCTCTTCTCACTTTGTATCTTGGATGGTCAGGGCTTTGACCCAGAGTTACTGATTGATTGAATTTGGTGCTAGGTGTCAAGGGATAGCCTATTCTAATCTGAGATCTCACCGTGGTTCCCAGGCCTTTCCTTTGTGTCATGGTACTTAACTGGCAAACAACAGTCCCCTAGCTGGTATATTTTAGTCCATCTTGGCCAAGCTGGATTGAGCCTAGGAGTAGGGCAAGACTGGGAAAGTCCATTACAGAAGGGACTCAAACAAGGGGCCATGAAAGCTCAGGGGAATCCCCAGGACTGGCATGAAGGACCAGAAAAGGATACTGGTGCTGGAGCTTAGCCTTCTGGTAATAGTGGATCAGTGGGCTTTGGGATGAAGTTCTTAGATACCAGCATGGCAAGTGCCCAGTAGGGCTGGGTGAGGAGGAAGGATAGCATGATCTCCAGGACACAGGAAGTGGCTCAGGTGCCTTCTGATTGCCAAGCAGCTTTGGGTGATTTTGCAGATGAGCGACCTGCAGGGCTAGGTTCTGTCC